TATGAGTCTGAGCAGCCTCACTCACGTCATGTCTTACAGGCGGCAAGCCTGGCAGCGAACCAGGAGGTCAGGCGTCATGGTGATATGGGATACCGTCATGTCTGCAGCTGCTGTGTGATGAAGACGATGAGGACAGATGAAGAGGACAGAGTGCTGAGGCACTCACATAGAGAGGGAGTATTGTAGAGGACAAGAGACAGAGGCGAGATGGGCCAGCAGCAGAGACAGCAAACAAGTGGACAGAGAGACAGTGTGAACCCCCACAGACTGTGGTCAGACAGACCTTCAGTAACAGGCTGACAGCTGTCCTGTTTAGAAGGAAAGAGGGACAGTATGTTTTCATTTTCTTTTTCCCCAGAGGCCATCCCATCACAGCCAGTCCCCTCACATTGGGGGACATCAGTGGTTAAACCCTCTGGACCTCTGTTAAAACTACAGTCGGGAATTAAACTCTGACATTAAATTTTGAGATTCAACTGATATTAAACTACGATATTAAGCTTCAAGTCGAAATTCTGACATTAAACACTGAGAATAAACTAAACTGCGATTTAGCTTTGAGTTTAAACGCTGATGTTATACTTTGCAACTCTGCAGCTCAGCTCTCTGCAGCCCTGCTTCCCACAGTCCTGCTTCCTGCATTCAAATCAAATCAAACTTAATTTATAAAGCGCTTTTCCAACAGAAATGTGACTCAAAGTGCTTTACAAGTTAAAAACAAAAAGAAAAACAAAAAACTATCCCAGGTGCCTCCTTACCCCCACCCCACCCCCCACCTACACACACACACACACACACACACACACACACACACACACACACATGCCTACGCACCCGCACATACACACAGAAAGAGAACGGGCATGAGGCTGAGTACAGAAGGAGCATTGCTCCTTGCAGCTCTGCAGCTCTCCTCTATGCATCCCTGCTTTCTGCAGCTCTTCTTCCTGCAGCTCTGCAGCTTTCCTCCCTGCAGGGTAATCTATCAAAGACACCCTAATCCTGCTGTGTGTCAAAAACTTAGACGCTCAGAGATTTATCAGTACACAGATGACCTCTAACCTTGAGCTGACTGCCGGTCCTAAGACAAGAAAAGGTCAGCGGTCGTAACAGAAACTCATCCACACCTCACATACTGCACAGGAGGAGGAGGAGGAAGAGATGTTGGTTTCTTACAGGGAGTCTGTTCGCCGTCCGTCCAACAGCAGACAGAGAGGCAGTCTTATCTCAGATATCAGTCTGTCTGCAGTCTAGACTCAGAAATGTGTGCTGTGGAGGATCAATCTGCTCTCATGTTATCTCATAACCTCACAGTGGACACCAGCAGCAGAACCAGCAGTCAGCAGATCTCAGAGACCTTCTGTAAATATGAAAAGAGGCTTTATGAGGAACAGCAGACTGTGTTTGATGGATCAGACACACAACAGATCAGTTTCTGTCACGTTGAAAGATAAAGAGTCTGAATCCTAAAGAATCTGAACTACAGTCTGACTTTTATCCTACAGTCTGAGGTTTCTTCTTTCTTTTAAACTAAAGACATTGACCTTTGATTCTCTATTCACTCTGTTTTTTTATTCACATTTAACAAGAGATATTTAACTTCTTTCACTTCACAGTCAGCTTTTCTCCTTAGTAGACTGTCAAACTGGATTAAAATGTGGTTAAAACCAGGTTTGTACATCTTTAGCATCAGTCTGTGTCCAAACACACTTCAGAGTACTGAACGGTTTTATCCTTGCAGCTTTTAAAGGACAGAAATACATGTTATTTTATCTGCATATAATTTAATCTGCACTTCAAAGTCATTTTCCTGCAGCAGCTGATATTATGTGTAACACAAATGTAACCAGGTTTAAATTTATGATGCAGTGTGTCATTACCTATTAAGGTAAAAGTCCATTAAGTTAAAAAGAGTATATGAAGTTTGAGGATCTGTCATGAATAAGGTTAAAAAAAAGTATTTCATGTCTAAATTCAAATGGTCAACTGTATGGCATGCTTACAGAAATGCAGGCTTTGTTATAAATACTGTTTTATTTTGAAGAGTTCATGATTACAAAGGGAAGTGACATTTGTGAAAATGGTTCATACTGCTCATTCATTGGTCAAAATAACATCTTGACAAATGAGTGACGACAGGAAATGAAACCACTGCTTATTTTGGCAGCTGGACAGATAGTCGCTGAAAACAAATGTAGTTCAATGTTTCGACTTACTGCTTATCACTCTGACAGTCACCCTTCACCTTTGTGAGCAGATGCAGATATTTCTACTCGATATATTCCGCACAGTTGTTCAGGTGTGTATGTTTGCTGTACATGTTTAGGAGACTCATAGCCTTGAGCATTTAACAACAAAGTGAATGGACATTAGCCACGGAGTAGCTAACCCAGTTAACTTGGAGGCTTAAGTTAATCTTTTCTGAAGCTGAAACCCTAAAGGTACACCACAGACTGCTGTGAGTTAACGCTATAGTATTAAGTTATAACTCAGAATTCACCTGATCTCCTGGAGAGTCAACGCTTTTGTCCGACGTGTTGTTAGCCGTCCTGTTTTTTACTGAGACTGGAGAGACCTTACTAGAGGCTTAAAACTTTCCCTTCTTCTCCATCCTATTATTCCATGTCTGTGTCATTAACTGTGGATCATCATGTTCTATTAGAGTCACTAGGACCGTCTTTTCTGGGAGGCCCTAAGCACCATCATCCTGTAAGTTCATCTGGATCACAGCAGCAGATCATCTGCTGCTGTGGACCTGTCTGCTTTCTTCATCTCCCTCTATCAGTCTTTCCTCCGTCAATCTCTCTCTTTCTCCATCTCCCTCTATAAACCCAGCTCAATTTCAGCAAATGACTGTCTAACATGAGACGAAGTTTCTGCCTGTTGAAGGACGTTCTTCCTCTCCACTGTAACTTGATAAATGCTATGTTCCACTCATGCGATTGAAGATGGGACGGGAGTGGGTCTGGACGGGGTTCAGTCTGATCCCATCTTTACATTAGATCTTTGTAAAGTATGGTCTTTTTTCCCTGAGTTTCTGGCAGCATTATTTACTGCTGAGCTGTCACTAGGAAAGAGAAACCTTACTTTTGGCTCTGAGCTGGCCGACAGAGACAGAGGGCTCTATTTTCGTGCCTCGCCGGAGACGCGCCGGAGACGCGCCGGAGACGCGCCGCAGGTCTGCTGACAAGGCGTTCTCAGGCACAATTTCGTATTTTGGTGAGTGGTGTAGCCCAGCATAAGTATCCCCCTCCCGAACTTAGCTCCTCCCAGCGGCGTAAGTCGTAGCGAGGGAGGAGAGAGGGCATGGTGTGGGTTTAACACAGCCGAGACCTGTTTTCACCAATCACATAAGCTCCTCTCCTCGCCTTTAAATCCGCCAGTCAAAGAGATCAAGAGATGTCTGAAGACAGTAATGCCACACGATGGCGACAGGAGGCAGACCCTCAACAAGTGTCGCTGCAGAGAGCGTCCTCCACACTCTCTCAAATAAGTACAGATGGATTTGGTGTGTGTAATGTTGGACCCACTGGTAAGACAAACACCCTTTTCCACAAATAACGACACTCACATAAAGTTCCATATATTCAAACCTCACGTGACAAAGGTGGGTTGTGCGCACAGATCACAACATAAGTTCCAATAATGGCATTAAAACCGGAACCATCTGTGCGCAAATGACGCATCGTGCTCCGTGGCCTGGCAATTTCTTTCATGATGTTGGCATATAAAATAAATTTGGCTCACAAAACTGAATATTATAATATTCGTATGTAGGCTTAAAGTGAATAACTCATCTGAGCACTGAAACGAATCATCTGTTCAGCCGCTGCAGCAGGACGGAGAGAGGACACAGAGACATGTCCAGGTTGAGTTGCGCGAGAAATAAGAGGAAGAGGAAGAAAGAAAAGGAGGGAGACGAATTACATATCTTGTAAACTTCATCATGTATGTTTATTTACTAGATATTTTATTTAATTTAATGAGGTGTTGATTGTTGTCAGCTGTGTTGATTCGGTCAGGTTGTGTGTCCAAACGCGTGCCAAACGCGCTCATCAGATCAGATATAGATCAGAATATATCTATATAGATTTAAATGTATGTGCTGACTCAGATTATTAGTTGTTGATGATTATTTATTGCACTGAAATGTGCCTGACACTGTGGAAACTGTCGAAAGTGTCACTGCGCCAGCTGATTCTGTCGACACCTCCCCCTCCCGCGCCACCACGCCCAGCTTGGCGGATCTCGGTTCGCCTCCGTGTGCCTCAGTCCACGAAAATACCAAAATGGCTGAACGCAGGGCTCCGCCAGACGAAAATACAACTGCGTGGGGTCCGCTACCCTCCGCCGCCTCACCGGCGTAGGCCTCCTCCCCCTTTACAGTGGATCTCGTGACCATCATGAAACTTACATTGGAGGTCCTGCTACAATCAGCTGGCTGAGGCCCACAGTTCTCAGTACAATCAGCCTCAGCTCACTGTTTGCTGTAGGACAATCAGGCCATCTTCACTCTGACCATGCGGTTCCCCTTTACTGCAGAAAACAGTGAGCATCCTGTGTCTAACACTGACAAGAGAACCTCAAAGGCCGAGGCAGGAACAGGGCTGGAGCTGTGGTCTCTGCAGGAACAGGGACAGGCCTGTGGTCTCTGTATGAACAGGCCTGGACCAGCAGCCTGTTTGTCAGCACAGCCAATCAGATACCAGCTCATTTCCCTGGAAACCACCATCTTCCAGCCGCCAACCCTCAGACCGCCACAGACTTTTAATCTTCCCCTCATGTTGTAATATTTCCTCTTGTAATTCCGTCTTTTATTCATATTTAACCCTCGCTTAAACTTTAAATATTCTTCAGTCTTTTCTCATGTTGTTAAATTTTCAGTTTTCACTCTTTCTAGAACAAGCAGAGACAGAGTGGGGCTGTGTCAGACCAGTGCAGAGAAAAGCCTGGTTTTTATCTTCTATCTGTTTTCTTTTACTTACTCTGCTCACATGGAGTCATCCTGGACCGGGTTTATGGGATGTTTGCTCTTCTAATCTGTGCGTCTCATACGGAGCTGATTTACTATCTGCAGTGACTTGGCAGAGACTCAGACTCTGATTATATCTTCTCTGACACACCAGCACACAACGTTTGTCAAAACAAGTGGCCTTCATGCATTCTTTTCTCCTCTTCCTCTCCATATCAGCCTCTTCCTCCTCCTCCTCCTTGAATCCCCCCTCAGAGGAGTGAAGGCGACACAAACTTTGGGTGACAGACAGAAACATTTTTATCAGACCGATCCCTTGGCCTGATGTCTGTAGCTGCAGCTCTAAAAATGTGTCTGATCCTGCAGAGGAATGTGATCGCATGTTTGAAAAACCAGCGTCCTCTGAGAAAACCCTGAAAAAAGGAGATACCATAGTCAGAGTAGAGGAGCTGTCACGCTATGACAAACTCTGAGGATCAGAGTCTCTTTATCCTGACAGTTAAAACAAGCTCTGGGACTCAGCAGCTACTTTATGAAGTTTCTGCTTCATGATGTGAACAGAGCAGGAATGAACAGGGAGGCTGACTCTACCTCTATAAGCTGACTCTATAAAATGACTCTACAGGTTGACTCTATTGGCTGACTCTAAAAGCTGACTATTGTGATATATTGTGCTACATTGTGATATATTATAGCGGATGTGCCTCGTGGGCACACATATAGCAGTTGCACTTAACGGCACGGTCGCAAAGCTAACTCTCTCTATCATATGGTCATGTGCCGGTCTGTATGTTGGTGGCTCTGCTGAATGCTACATAAAATGAACTGAGTTTTAAGAAGTGGTCAAGCCTCGTCAATATCTTACAACTATGAGCTGACTCTATAAATGACTCTACAGGTTGACTCTATAGGTGGACTCTATAAGATGACTCTAAAGGCTGATTCTATAAGATGACTTTGCAGTCTGACTCTCAAAGCTAACTCTATAAGATGAATCTACAGGCTGATTATGTAGGCTGACTCTATAAGGTGACTCTAATGGCTGTCTCTATAAGAAGACTCTATAAAATGACTCCAAAGGCTGACTCTATAGGCTGACCCATTAAGATGACTCTACAGGCTGACTCTTAAAGCTAACTCTACAAGATTAATCTACAGGCATATTCTAAAGGCTGACCCTTTAAGAAGACTCTATAAGATGACTCTAAAGGCTGACTCTATAAGATGACTCCAAAGGCTGACACTATAAGAAGAATCTGTAAGATGACTCTAAAGGCTGACTCTATAAGATGACTTTACAGTCCGACTCTAAAAACTAACTCTACAAGATGAATCAACAGGCTGATTTTATAGGCTGACCCATTAAGATGACTCTAAAGGCTGACTCTTTCTGAAGCAAAAAGCCCCTCTATAGAAATCAATTGAACTCAGGTCTGGTCAGACTTTCTAAGATGGTGGCTGATATCTTTGGCACTGGAGCTCCTCTTCAGACACCTCAGGGTGGCTACTGAGACTTGAACACATCTGTCTACATCTTCGAACACACACTGATAAATAAAGAGTGGTTGATTGATTAGTTTATTGATGGGTCTTAATGGTCTGAACTTGTACCCTTTAACATGGGCACCCTGGGGTGCCACCTGACTGCTTATGGGATGCCACAAAAAATGATCTATTCTGACATTTCATTCATTTAAATATGATTGAATACATAGATACATTCTTTTTACATATAAAATAGCTAAGACCTGAGGCCTGTACTACGAAGCTGGATTAACACATCTAGGATAACTCTGCAACAACTAGCTCAACTTCACCGGATTTCCGTGATCCCGATCAGCTGTACTACGAAGCCAGTTATCAACTCAATAACTGAATCCAGGTGTGGCCACTTCAGATCTGTGCGAACACATGTAAAAGGGGCAGGGTTAGCGGCACTGGACCATTTTCCACAATGGACAAAACGGCGAGAGCATCGTATTTCACAGCTGAGGAACAGGATATTATCCTGCGTGAATACGAGGAATTCAGTGATACAATCACAGGGAGGAGCAACACGGCCGCAAAATCGACGATTGTGTTAATGCGTAAGTCACAACGATGAAGATATTAATGTGTCATCACGATGGCACAGATAGATGTCGCTACATTTGTGCATTTATTAATTTATGGTCCCCAAATGTGTTGTCATTCAGTGTTTGATCACCATCATCATCATCGACCTCATGATTTCAGATGCAGCAGCAGTGGGGAAAAAAGAACGTGGGAGCAAATTCGAAATAAATATAAAAACATCCTTCAGAGTGGTTAGTAGGTTTATTGGTAGATTGTATTTGTACAAACAGTATTTCAGCATGTATACAGCGATTTCCTCACAATGTCTCAGCTGTAGGGTGATGATAAACGAGGTCCTGTGCTATTATGTGATATTATTATTATACCGCAGCCCCTCAAAAGAAAACCTGTAACGCTCGTACAGAACGTCATCTGTTAAATCAAATGGATTCGAGCGATCACGAAAATAGCGCTCACGGTGAAGCGCTCCTCTAACAATCCGAGCACCGACATCCACAGGATCCGGCAAAAGTGGGCAGGCCATTTTCCAAGAGAACCGATTGGTCAGTGGGCGGTCTTTTATACCCGCTGAGCTCTTATCCTCAAGCATAACCTGCTCTGGAGCAGGTTTGGCGTTCCGCGTAAGTTACCGGGGCAACGGACCCGAATAAAAAGAGATCCACCTTTGTAGTACGGAAAACCCAGAAGTTATCTCGCTAAGACCAAATCCAGCTTCGTAGTACAGGCCTCTGATGTAGGGATTGTTGTGCAGAGGACTCAAACTACGCTCATTGTTTTATTGTGGAAGAATAACTTTGACTTCTTGGTGCTAACATGGGAACTTCAGGGACTGCCCAGTGCTCAGGATTTTACGTTGAACTCTTTTAAGGACTAGTTGGACTTGGGATTTGTTAAATTAGAAATAAACTGAGGTACTTGTGCTTTAATGAAAATGGTGCTGTTTCAGTGAATACACACAGGACTTTGAACAGACACAGACTGTTCATAACCAAGGTTATCAACGTACTCTGGACTTGTCTGTGACCTTCCTAGGTTTGATCTGGTTTTTGGACTTTTAGTCTCAGTGACTTGCTAAGGATGTCATAGTCCTGTTTCAAACTGTATTGTAACTTCAAATTGGATCTCCTGTTTTTAACCCCTACTCTGTGAGTCACCATCTATGTTCATTTCAGATGGGGGAGGACTTTGTATAGGCCCCCGGGCTTCCCTTCCCTCCCTCCCTGCACTGTATTATAAATTATTCTTTGATCATGTTTCACATTTCTTAAAATATGGTGAAAACAAATAAACAAAACTACACTTAGCTAAACTTAAGTACCACCAATGAGGGTCACTGTAGACTTTTGGTCTTTGGAATAAAGAAATGTTAGATGCAATGAGGTGCCATCTATGGTGGTATGTGAGTGGAGACCCGATGAGGGTCTTTGGTGTTACTCAGAGATGTGGACAGTTTTAGTCCATGTTTTCTCTTTTGAAGACATCATATAGAAAGAGATTCATGTACCACAGTGACTCAGGGTCACATCAGAAACAGATCTGACCTTGTAACTGCATCGGGGGAGTCTGCAGAGCTATACATTTATGAGGCGCACATCCAAACACAGCGGTTTTCTGATGAAAATGATTGCCTCCGGAGAAATGTATGCATGGCTCTTTTCCTGAAACAGTCTGTTTGTACAATAACAAGCAGTGAAACAGGATCCAGCCCTGCCAGGCCACAGCGCCCCACCAGGAAGCAGCTGATTTATTAGAGCTCAAGAGACTTCAGGACTTTTTCTGCTTTTTTACAAAGAGTCATTGTGTCAGTTTATTCTGAGTGTGGAGAAATATTGAATTGAATACAGCTCAGAGCAGACGGTTCAGATTTAATTCAATAAAAAATCCATTTCACATCATCCAACTCTCAGCCTCCATTCATAAAAATAACCTGAGAAGATTTACAGCTGTGTCTGAGGGTGGACACAATTTCTGTCTGAGTGTTTGAATACACAGACAAACATCCTCCTGAGAGGTCAAACTCACCTGAAGTTCAGGTACAAGCTGATCAGCCTCTGTTAGAAACAAGTTGCATTATATCTATCTCTCTCTCAGGTTAACTTTAGTGCTCGGACGCTCTTAGCCTCCTCGTGCTTATGTTGTTTCTCAGCATTTGGCGAACCTTCCTCTGAGTCTCCTCCAGCTCTGATCCCAGTCTCATTACAGGCTGAGGCCAGAGCTCCCATTATCCCAGTCCCCTCTGATTACCCAGCCCATTATTTCCACTGAAGACAGAGTGAGACAGGAAATGAAATAAATGCTCTGCAGCAGGAGAAAATGAACGGCTTCTGATCGGGGCCACCGTGTTGTGTTTATGGTGGCGCCCGGCCACTAATTCCTCTTTTCCATCACAGAGCTGCTGAGTCAGCGCTGAGTTAGCGCCATCACACAGAACCGCCACCACTGTAAGGCTGTTTTATGGACGCAGTGTGCATGGATGGAGGTGGCAGGAAGCACTCCGGATGGTCTGCAGACGTAGAGACAGTGTTACATGTAGAGCTGCAGTGCAGAGCTGGAGGTTACAACCTTTGATCCATCATAGCAATGTATAATGACACTAGTTCAGATTCAGTCTGAGGGAACACTCCTGAGTGGGTCTGAGTCTCTATAGGTCCGATAATTCATTATCATCAATATTATTATACGTACGCCTTGCGTACGTAAGTTGCGCTGTGAGGATCAGCATTTATCAATCTGCACGTGAGCGTACGCTACGACCAAATCTCACGACAGGTCTGACATCGTGTACGCAAGTTTGAGTCAGTGTGGATCTGCAGCAAATTCCTGTCTGAAAATAATTGATATACAAACCTCAAACCTGTCACTAAGCACAATCAGCCAGATTTTATTAAAGATTGAGATGTAAATAAAATAAAATAAATTTGTTATGTCCTATATGGGCCTATATAGTTACTCTGCCCAGAAACACTGCCACAGAGCAGAAGCGCCGTTTTAACATTGCGCACACACACACACATGAGCCACCGTTGAGCGCTGCGTTTGACTCCTAAAAGGCAGGTGTCTCTGTCTTGGCCCAGCAGCGGGGACGTTGTACACTCCTGAAAGGGTGTGGGACATCATTTTAGCCAGTACAGTTTTGCACAATGTTGCACTGGAGAATGGAGTGCCATTGGCTGTGCCAGTGCAACGTGAGGACCTGATGCCCAGAGAATAATAACGAGGAGAGACTCCACAAAGGTGCTGTACAGAGGAGACAGGACCTTATCAATGGATTCTGACATGTCAAGTATAAGTTTAGAAAGTGCTCTTGCTATCTAATCAGTGAAAAAAATCCAATAGAAATCCATAAAAATGTGCCTC